TAGAACTGCTGTTAATATGGACATCAACTTTATCAGCTTTACCATTGTAACAACAGAATTTAATTAATGATATCCTGGGCATAATTTAGGCACTCTGAGAGCTACAGTCTTTCAAAACTAACTTTCTTTACTCATTCAATCTTTGTTCAACAATATCTACCAAGTGCCCAAAACGTGTATAGAAAAGTATTGAAAAGTACAACCTACTCTGACTGCAGGGAGTTAACCAATTGGGAAGACAGGATCCTCTACTAGATTGCAGACTCCTAAATGGCAGGACCCAAGCCCTGTAGGTCTTTGAATTTCCCCACTGGGCCAGGGCCCAGAGTACGTGAACAGGCGTTATTAAGGGGTTTGTAGATAAACCTTGGCCTATATTAAGCAAAGTTGTGAATCACAAGACCTGACCTAAGTCCAACCTCAAACATCTACTGTCTGGATGGTCTTGGGCCTCAGTTTCTCCAGCTGAGAAGAAGATAATAGTAAGGGTAACCTCACTGAGCTACTGTTTACTGATTAACTGGGAGAATAGATACCACTGTGGTTTAGATTTCATTCGGGGTAAAAGCCAAGTGCAAACAAAGTCCATGCAGAGGGGGCATGATCTGTAGCAGCCCCTGGTCCCGGTCATGTGTCTCTGCCCTCTCATGTGCTATTACTACACACATGTTCTTGCTGTTCCTGCTCTTCGCAGAATGCTCACAGCTCTTCCCCACTTCAAAGCCATGGTCCTGGCTATTGCTTCTGCCAGGTGTGTCCTCCCCCTACACATCTCCATGGCAACCTCACAAATGTCATCCTCTCAATGAGACTAACACTGACCACCCTATTTACACTTGTAAATCACGACCTCCATTCCTCATGCCCTGAAACCCCTTAGTCTGCTATTTCTTTGCCGAGACCATTTTTCATATTCTAACTTTCCATATAAATTTACTCATTGGTTATGTTTATTGTTTGTCTACTCTCACTAGACTGTAAGCACCTTACAGGCAGGATTTTCCTTATTTTACTGACTGCACAGCATGTGGTAGGCACTCAACCAATATTTGTTAACCGAATGAATAAATGAATGAAAGGAGGTTGCAAAACATGTAAACAGAGGCCAGGCTGAGTATTTCTGGTACAGTCAATGCTACTCTAGTGGGAGCTGGGCTACGGAGCTCTGTACACGGCAGAAGCACAACAGCCACGTGAACTGGATAAAATAAACAGGAGGCTCTGGCCACAGGTACCCTGTGAAGTGGCTGGTACAATTCTTAGTGTTCCTTCTTACCACTTGGAAAAGAAGAACTTATGGAAGTTTTTAAAATGAATATTTCCAATTTCCCCCAAATAAGAAAGATGCTTGTGTGCCTCACCACTGCAACTTAATCCACAGGCACAATTCCTTTCAAATATTATCTTTTGCCTGGTTAATGTATTTGTTTCTTTTCATAAACACCCTACTTTATACTGGACATTAATCTAACCACTTAGACATGATTAGCAAGCTAAGGGTCTTACTTATTAAAAACAGTTAATTTTCCCTCTTAAAAAAAATAGAGACATTTGAATCTCTGAATACACTCATTTATCACCAGCCCCCAACAAGGCATCCAGGAGTTCTCCGTGTACGACATGAATAATTTTTATAAAAATGCAGTTGCTGACTGTGTCGTACATCCGCGCAGTTTTATAAAACAAAGCAAATGATTACCATCAATTACAATAACCTCATTAGACAAGATGGCAATTAATCTACAGCTCTTCAGATAACGACTGTTGCACTGTGCCAAGGAAAATGCCTGGCATTAATTGACTTATCACGATCAGCAGTGATGGATGGGGCAGATGGCAATGTGATTATTCATCGTCAACAAAATAAACACATGCTTTGTTGCTTGAAGTGTCTACTTGGGTCCTCTCCGTGGATAGCCAAAAACAAAGACCAAAGGTGTCCATGAAGATAGCACCAAATAAAAATAAAACGTTAACCTACAGGATGGGGTATGTTTACTTTAACTGGGGCTAACCTTCAGTAGAATTCAACTGAAAGACATTTTCTACAAGGTAATCATGGACTGTGTAGAATGTCAGCATTATACATTAAAACTAAAAGGATGTGAGTCACTTTTATGAAGTCCTCAAATTCCATTCCATGTTTAATAACCCCACTGATGGGAATTTGCTATTTTCAGAGACAAACTCATCCCATTGATTGACAACTCTTAGTTACAACCTATATTTAGCTGAATTCTGTTTTCTGGGAACTTCTACCCATTGATGCTAGGTATTTTCCCTCATACCACAAAGAAGATACCAAACTTTTCTTGCTCACTAAAGCCCTTTAAATATCTCAAAGGCCAAATGCCTATCCAACTCCTTTTTATGTGACATTGTTTCGGCGCCTCCAACATTCTCATCTCTAGCACTGAAACCTACACCAGTTGATAGACCCGTCATCCTAAAACCACTTACACTGAGAGGAATGAGCTGGGAAAGAAATGTGATACAGCTGATGTGGCCTCCCAGAGCAAGTCTAACTGTACTTATCTGAGGCTAATGCTCAAGTTTGCCTTGGAGCAATGGACGCATGTATGTGTGGCTACCCTGCTTAGGAGGCTGTTTTCCAAATCCCATCCATCTAGAAAGCCCACAGCTTTGCCATTTTCAGCTGTATGGCTTTGCTGATGAAATCCCAGTTTAAGAAACTGAGATAAGTCAGGCAGAACCCGAGCTGGAACTGGCACAGTGGTCACAGACCAAAATCTCTTGGGGGAATTTTTACAAATGCACATATTGGCCCCCATTCCTGGAGACTCTGATTCGGTTGCTTTGGGAGAAGGACTCCAATGTAAGTATTCTGACAATGATCTGCAGTTAATTCTGGTAGGCAAATGCTTCCATCACTGAGAACACTTAGTAATGTACAACTGAGGGAGTGCTTCACAAATCTCATCATCAGACTCCTGGGAACTTTTAAAACACGATTCCGTGGAGTGCTGACACCTGTGGTCTGCGGTAAGTCTAAGAAAATGGACATATTTACAGATCAAATTGTTACATGCTTCCTGTAAGGATTTTGGAAGTTCTCATTTACACCAAAGTTGTGCTTCATATATAAATCACAGAGCTCCCTTATTACATATTGAAGAAACAAGCAACTCTGAGGAATTCTACAATGTAAAGATTTTAGCCAAGTAACCGTCAATAGTTTTTCATTTATTCATTGAATAAATTCTTTCATAAGTTCCTTTTCATTCTGAGGCAATATTGTGATAGGCACTAGAATATAACAGTAGAGTGAGGGAGAAAAACAAAGAAATAACAGCAAACAAATAAGTGAGCAAGCAAGGCAACAACTAACTTGTGGTTTTAAAGGGATGAATTTATCTAATTTTGAGTATTTTTGAATTCAGATTGGCAGTCTCCAGTCACTGTCAATTCACGAGTTGTTGCCCCACTCTAGGACCTGTAACTCCTGGGATTTTCTCATTCCAGTGCTTCAGCAGACATCTCTAATCAATCCTAGACTGTCTGCTACAGAATCAAGAAGAAGGCCCATATCCGCCTCAACCCTGTCCTCTATGCAGCCATTACTAACTGATCATGGATGAAATCTATATGCACTTTCCCCAATATGCAGTACCCTGACTTGCATGGTGCCTTTATTGTCCTAACTTCCTGCTTTATCTTTGCTGTCTATCAACGACTGAGTACTAGTCTCTTCTCACATCTGGACTCCCAGTTACTCTTCAAAATAACCTTGACAGCTGTCTAACTCAGCTTTCGAAAGGTCAAGGAGCCATCTCAAGATCACACAGTTAGTGTGTATCAAAGCCAGAGGTAATCACACTCAGGTTCTTTAACTCTAAACCTGATGCTTTTAAAATTGTTCTGCATTGCTTCTTTTCTCAGCTCAGTTCAAAGGTGAAACTCCTCCCAGGCCCATCAAGTAAAAGGCCTTTGTACATCTCCATTACAGCATGACATTATACTTGAATGATTTGAATACAGCACTCTTTGAGCTCCTCTGTGATGGGAGCTCTGTTTGTTTTGATCTACATGTTCCTGGTAACTAGCAGAATGCCTAGGAAGGTTTTCAATTCATGCACTTTGAACAGTTATTAAAATCTGGCCACTGTGTTCATTGAGGTTGTGCATCTCTTTCTCAATGTATGGCCCTATGATATTAAAAACAAAACCATGTTTAAACACGGTCTTGATTAAAATAACTTAGAAAGACCAAGTTGATAATGAGATACACACTTTTGGTATTTCAAAACTGTCTTGACATCAGTTACTGAGGACTCTTAAACAGAAACCTAGTTACAGGATATGCAGCATATAAGTACCCCTGGCCCCAAGTTAATAACCATCCTCAAGTGTAAAAGAGGTAAAAGAGATCAAATAAAATATATCCTGCTTGTCAAGTGTCACGACACAGATGTTAGCTATTTAGACTGCAGCTCTCATAATGGAAACTGTGGTTTGGCTCACTGCTATGACTGGGAATTCTGTCTGAGTTGATTGTGGCACACAGAGACACTCACCATTTATGGTCACTATTTAGTTGCCTGACATTTATTTCATAGTAAATTATAGTTTTGTGCAAATAAGACCCATTCTACCAGAAGGGAGAATTGTGGACTATGCTATCATGTGTGACATATGGAAGGCTGATTGCCCAGAGAGAAGTAAGTGAAGATGGACTTGAAAGGTAAGGGTTTGGGGCTGAAATAATGCTCTGGAGACAACGGAAGGCATGAATCACAAGAAAGGTGACAGATGTGCGAGAAGGAAATATTCGGTTTAATTTTGGCCTCCCCTGATAAACACTGGAACCTCTTTAGAGACTTCTATGTCAACTTGGAAAAGACAAGGAGAAAGAAGGTACAGACCTTCTTGTTTCATAGATTCAAGAGAAGTCTTTCCATCTGTTACCCTACCATAGACATACATAGGCACCACATCTCATTATTAGCACTTAACTTTAATACCTCAACAAACCCACCTACCTCCCCAGAGAAGGCTTGTCCGTTGAGGAGGTGCTCTGACCCTTGACTATCCTCACTCCCAAAGTGTAGCCGGATCTCCTCTAGCCGGTGGCTGTATGTCATGGGCCCTCCTGATATGTTGACCAAGTGCTCCTTGTCCAGGCGCAGGGACACGTGTCTTCCGGTGTTGTACATGGTCCCACTGACCTGTAAGGCAATGGGCAACAGGTCAGGCAAGGCTCTCCTCTTTCCATTTCTCACCAAACCCAGCATGGTGCTTAGCCTCATGCTTTTAGCTTCCTCTTGATGGGAGGAAATTAGGTTGCATCCAAACGTAGAGTAGGGAGCGGCAGCCTCCCCAGAGGGCATTCCTGCCCTACCTGGTTTCTAAGGTACTTTCTGTGCAACAAAAACCACGTTATCATTTAGGAATTTGAGGTAGAAACTCAAAGGAGACCTCATTAACCGTGACTAATATTTTGGACATCGCACTTTATAAAAATGAACTTTTCTTCTTACCCTAAATATTGGGAAAGTAGAGATGCTGCAAAAGTTCAGATCTCATGTATGAGAAATTGGAGAAAGCAGTTAGGAGAGGATGCTACAAAGGCCAAGTGAGAGACAAGGAAGCCAAAATGGATGAACAGGAGCAAACCCTAGTGGGACACCAAAGGCTTCGGTCTGCAGTCTCACGTGTCCAGTCCTGTGTGCTTGGCTAGGTCCTTCTCTCACCTCTGCAACCAGATGCTGCACAGAATGAGAGCTCTGGTCCTTCCTCACAGCTGTGGGCCTCAGGGCTAAGCTACAGAGATTCATACAAAATTCCTCTTTCAAAGATTCTCAGACTTCCTCCTCACTCCTGAGTCCATCTTGCTTCGGCCCCTGCAAGAGGTGAACCTCACCACTTGGTGTTACTTTTCCTTCTTTCCTCTTTGGATGTGATGTTTGGCTTCATGTTCCTATTTCCTTAGCACCTCCCAACAGTTGATTCTAGAACATTTAATCCTACCTGTGACTTCTACTGCCTTAGTCTTTTGGGCTGACTTAGCTCTAGGAGCAGATCTAAAGCTTAAGGAAGGCTTTGAGTGGGCCTGGCTGGAATGCTTCTGGGCTATTTGGTGCAGAGTGACTTGCATTTTCTTCTCGTTTACTTTGACTCTTTTGGGTCCAGCTTCCTGTCCCATGGGTTTCTTAAGGGCTTCACATAACTTCTGATATCTTTATAGCAGTAGCCTTGCCTGCCCCTCCACCCTTCTGACGCTAGTCTTGGAAATGATCAGTCAGTTTAGTTCTGCAGAATGCTCTCTGTAGCAGAGACAGTAATGCTCGCTAAACACTCCACTGACTCATTATTCCACCATCTTGCCATAAGGTGGAGCCCATGGGGCTGGTGTTGGTCAGGGGCTAGGAAGGGACATGACAAGAGTCACTCCCAGGCTGAAACAATGAAAAGCTTATGCACAGTTCTCCAGTCTCTCTTTTCCCCTGCTACATCAACCAAGCAGGTGATGTAAAAATATGAAAATGTGGTGCACCTACAAGATGGACCCTATGGCAGCCTGAGGCCCTGACAGATTATGTGTAGATTGCAAAAATGGCCAGAATTCCTCCTATCCCCATAGTTGCACTTCTTACAATGTGACTTTGTAGTGGCTCCCAGCAAGATAGGGGTCTATCTCCTCATCCCCTGAATCGGGCTTGGCCTTGTACTTTCTTTGGTCAATAGCATATAGTGGATGCAACATGCTAGTTCTGAGAGTAAACCTCTACTTTCTTCCTCCTCCTTGGAACCTTCAGACCACCCTGCAAACCAGCCTGAGCCAGCCTGCTGGAGGATGACCCCATAGTGAGGAGAGCCATCCCAGGAGAAGCTGTTCTAGACGGGCTGTTGCGTGGATCATCCGCCAGCTGACCGGCCCAGTCAAAATCTGCTCAGCCTGGCCCAGACCAGAACTGCCCATACACCTGTAGGCTTAGGAGTGACATAATTGGTTGTTGAAAGTCCCTAAGTTTTGGGGTCGTTTGTTACGTAGCAAAAGCTAACTGATATACATTCAGTCAATCATCTCTCTTCTGTGAATATGGATCTATCAAGAGAAACTCTGGACAGTCTCTGTTGACTATGTGAACTAGAAAGTCACATGGGGCCATTAAGTGGCTTGACTCAGACCCAGGAGAGAGAAAAGAGAAGCAGATGTGCCAACAGTGGCAAGGAAACCATGCAGAGAGAGACAGAGAACTGGGGAGAATAACTACTTGAATTTCAGAAAACCTTTGTACCTCCTTATTCCAGTTCCTTTATGAGACTGGAGGACTTGCGCAGTACCTTCTCAGATACTTTATCAATACATTAATATTTTTCTTAAGTTATCTAATTCTTGCAACCAAATGATCCCTGTCAAAGACTCCAGTCTGTAGGAGACTGTTCTGTGTGGCGTGGGCCCAGCTCCCACTCAGAGATGCACAGGACCCACGCCCATGGATAGGTTCTCCCATGGGGAATCAGGCCAGCAATGTGCCTAGGCCGCTTTGAGTCTTGCTCTTGCTAAAAAACTCCCTCACCCTGAATTGAGGACATTTACTGCAAAGTAACTTCCTAAAATCCATGCTAAACCTTCCAAGGATGAGTGTAACCAGTTCAACCACTTTTGCCTTTTCATTTGCAAATGTCCCTCTTCTATGATGTGATTAGCAGCACTGGCTCCTTTGTTTTCTGTAAAAGGTAACCACCTAAAGGGAACCTGTGCATAGTAAATGAGGACCATCAGGTAATGTGCGGGGAGATAGAAATAAAGGCCTGTCATGGCGGAGGCCACGGCTTTTGCTCCCCTTGAGAGAAAAGCCATGCTGTCCCTTTTCCTCCACTGGACACGGAAGTCCATGAGAATGTCTCACTTCATCCATAGTGATGCGGACACTGAGGGCCGGTGTCTGCATCACCTGTCCTGTTCTCCAGTCTCAAATAAATGCAAATTTAGTAAGTATGAGACAATTTGAACTTATCTTTTTCTTGTCCCAATTCATGATTTCCTTTGCTGTAAAATGATTAGAAATATGTTTGTTTGACGTTGTATTCACCTTTAAATAAAAAAATGTATTTTTAAAATTAACAAGATAATATACAGGCCTTATGGTAAAGAAGATATAGAATAGCTCAAGAAAATAAAAATCACTAATATTTTGGTATATGTGCTCTTCACATTCATAATTATATATACCTATATTTTAATGAGATTATTTTACATATGTATATAAATAGACAAGTTATTTTTCACACATGTGATTTATATTTAAATACATATAGCCATATAGAATGTAAATGTATTATTAATATATACCATAAATATGTTAGATATTATTTTTATTAACATTTTATATATTTCCAGGTTATTAACTATTCTTTTGCAATATTACTTAGAAATAATTGTATAATTTTCCACTGTAAAAATACATAACTTATTGTTGAATCTTTATATCCCCTCCACTTTTTCACTGTTGTACAAAAATAATGCAATGAGCATCCTTACAGACAATAGTTTTACCAAAACAGGGATAGTTCATTAGGCAAATTCTGGGTGTAATGGTGTACATATTATTAAAATGCTTACTGCCCAGTATCCATCACTCTGGAGAAGAGATTCCACAGATCTGGGCTGGGTCTCTCTAAATCTCTTCAAACGACAAGAAAAGCGGAACCATGAGATTCAATCCGTAACACCCACGGGCACCTACGGCATGCGAGGCAGTGTGAGAGGAACTGCACTGAGTCCTTACAGGACACATGCTCTGTGCCATGGGCAGGTATCTCGGGCTTCCCTGCATTTGCAGAAATCCTTTCATCTGTGTCTGTTTTATGCTCCTAAGCAAATTGCTGCTCACCAAATCTAGGCAGTGACAATGTCACATACTTGTCCGCATTTTCACATTACTTAGCACCCTGGCACATAGCAGATGGAAAAATCAAGGCCTCTTGAGTCAAAAGATTCCCAATCTGCCTCTCGGGGACCTTGGGTAGTTCAGTTAATTTCCTGAAGCCCCAGTTTCCTTAACTCTAAAGTAGGGATAAGAAAATCTTCCCCATGAAAACAAGGGATTAAAAAGCTAGGAGGCATGTATTCATTAGAAAACAAACATCAAAATGATACAAGTAAACCTCCCCTTATCAGTAATTACTTTAAATGTGCAGGATTCCACTTATATGAGGTACCTAGAGGAGTCAAAATCACAGCGACAGGAAGTAGAATGGTGGCTTCCAGGGGCTGGAGGGAGGGGAGAATGGGGAGTTATTGCTTAATGGGCTTACATATTCGGTTTGGCAAGATGAGAGGGCTCTGGGGATGGACGGCTGCACAACAATGTGAAGGTACTTCATACCACTAAAGTGTACACGTAAAAATGGTTAGCATAATAAATTCTATATGTGCATTTTATCACAATAAAAATGGAAAAAATATCCCCAATGAGGTTGCGATGGGAATTAAATAAGTAAAACATGTAATTTTCCTTCTCTTCCTTCCCTTAATTTTGACTCATTGCACGGGTGCCTCACAGACGCTGAAGGGCCCACAAAGATCTTCCATACTTTCTGGAGCCCGGTGGGACGCAGTGTTGCTTGCTGAGTGTCACAGTGAAGAACTTTAATTGATTTCTGCATTGTGATGAGTCACCTGTCTCCCATTTTGGATTTTAAAGCTCCAGGTGTGAGTGAGATCTATCCAAGATCATTCCGAAGACCGTGAGGCAAACACAAAACCAGGGCAGTCAGGAATAAAACATTGTGTCTTCCAGTTCTCCACTCCAGTCCCGGACACCATCTGCTTATAGGACTCTATCCTCCCTCCTTGTCCCTCCCTCCCTCTGTTCCTCCCTTCCTTCCTTCCCTCTGTCTCTCTCAACAGTAATTGGTAAATTATTCAATGTCTCTGACTATGTGCTGGGAGCTGATTGCATGGAGTAGAACCAGACACGGTCCCTGCCCTCATGGAGCTCACACTCTCCATTGTGTAGAGACCCAAGTGGAGGGGAAAATAGTGATGGGGGATCCATTGGAGTTCTACCATTTGCCTATGTATTCCTACAAATGATGCAACACCCTCTTATCCCCACTGCTTCCCTAGACACCAAAATAACATTAATTTGTATTAATCAAAAAAAGCTGTGTAGCCACGGTATGGTTTGTTGCACTTTAATTTAAAAATAAAGGCTTG